GCCAACACCACAAAACTTGAAAGTGGCAGAGTCTGCATTTAAATTAGGCAGTTATCTGACTCAGACTAATCATATAAGAGTGGAAAAACAGTTAAATCAATTATGAAATGCTTTACAGACATAGGTGTCATTGTATGGGGAAATGGTCCACTCAGTGGGCAAGAGCATGGTATAAACCTGTAGGTAAACCATAATTGCTATGAATTTGTGCATGGACCAGGTATGAATACAGACAAATGAAAAGTTAACTGGTGACAGAATTTGTTTAAATATTATTTTTAAACTGCCCTTTTAAAAAAAACTTGTTATTTTTTGTTTAAAAATATGTACTTTACCATATTCATACTGTATATTCAAATATATTATTCATACCCCTATATATTTCTACATGGTATATGAGCTGTTCCATCATGTCTAGGGTCATCCTTTGTTCTGTCCTTATCACTCACCTCTTACTCCTGAAAATTCAGCCATAAGAAATAATGAAATGCTGTTATTTGTGGCAACATGAATGAACCTGGAGGATGTTATGTTAACTGAAATCAGTCAGGCACAGAAAGTCAACTCTCCTGCTCATATGTGGAATCTAGAATTTTCATAGCAGTAGATAGTAGAATAGTGGTTATCTGAGGATGGGGCCCCCCCATCATGGTTCATCACCAGCAAAACACCTATCCTTAAAGCCTTCTCTAAAATTACTTTTATCTTGTTAAACCCAAATTTGCATCCCTGAGAGAAGCCCTTTCAGGTGGCAACTGTATTTCTTGCCCCAAAGAAGAGGAGTGTAAGTGGTCTCTTTATTCTTCCTCATCACCTTTACCATTCCATTCCGCTGTTCCCTAAAAACTCTTGGCTTTATCCCAGCACTTTGGGAGGCCGAGGTGGGTGGATCACGAGGTCAAGAGATCGAGACCATCCTGGTCAACATGGTGAAACCCCGTCTCTACTAAAAATACAAAAAATTAGCTGGGCATGGTGTGTGCCTGTAATCCAGCTACTCCAGATGCTGAGGCAGGAGAATTGCGTGAACCCAGGAGGTGGAGGTTGCGATGAGCCGAGATCGTGCCATTGCACTCCAGCCTGGGTAACAAGAGCAAAACTCCGTCTCAAAAAAAAAAAAAAAAAAAAAAACTCTTGGCTTTAAACTGCTTGTGCATCAGGATTTAAAACTCTTGTTCATCAGTCTGTATGACCCACAACCCCATCATTGTTAGTTATCTACCAAGCCTAGTATTCTGTCCTCATTGTGCCATCATTTTAGTTCCTGGCTCACTGTTACTCTCTCCAGAAAGACTCCTCTACTTATCAAGGAGGATTATTCTTGGAAATCTGATTCTTTTAATACCTTTGGGCTTCTCAATCCTTTAGCTGTTTGCCATCTCAACCTTTAACAGACATGGTCATTCCTTAGACCACATCATCACCAATTCCATCCTTCCATTTTTTCAACTGCATGCACTGACTTCTCTCCTCTGCATGGCTTTTGAGCTCACTCCCTCTACGGTCCAAAAATCAACTCCATCAAAATTCGTGGTCCATTGATCTCACTATGTTTTTCCTGGACCCACTTCCCTCCCACCCAGGGTCTTGTGCCCATTTTATCCAGCTTAGGGTCCATGTCCAGGTGGCATAATTTCTCCCTGTAACATCCTGACTCCTTTGCACCTCTCACTTCTCATGTTCACTTGGCAGTCTCAGCTCTGGCTGAATCTGCATCTCTGGCTACTTTGTGCCAGCCTCTGTGCATCTGACCTTGGCTGGACAAAAACACAACCATACTCTGTGGTTTTACTTTTAATTAATGACCGTGAACCTCATGTAGGAACTTAAAAAATGCTGCCCAGCAGTCATATTATGTTGTTCACTCTGATTGGACTTTCTAACAACCTTCTCCTCTTTCCTTAACCTTCTAACACCTCCTCTCTCAACCTTATTCTCAACTGATGCCTTCCAACTTTGGCTGGAAAAATTGGAAGCTTCCACTGCTTCATCTCTTGGGGCTGGAAATGAATGGCCTGTGCTCCTGTCTGAAGACAGTTCTTCCATTTCAGCATCAGATGCACCTTTTCTGCCTGCTCAATGGTTGGGTTCCAATCATTCCTCCTGTCATCGTCTTGTCTCCCTCTGCTGGTGATTCCCATCAGCATCCAAGCATGCTTGTTTCTTCTCACATCATACTAAGAGAAAATAAAAACATTCCCTACATCTCACTGTGACTTCCTCTCAGTAGCCTCTGTTTCATTTCCCTTCTCTATTTTATAGCTAAACTCCCAAAATATCACCTGGTTCCCATTCTTATTATTTCTTGTTTCTCTCTTCCCAGGCTTTCTTCAATCCAGTTCAGCCAAGCTTTTAGCCCAGCTCTTCTGCTGCTCTTGTTGAATTCCTCAATTAAGTAGTCGCTGAATCACGTGGTTTGCATTCCTCATTTCACTGTCTCATCAGCAGTATTTGCCACCCCCTCCATACTCATGGGAGGAATCAGATCACCTGGCTTCTTGGATGTACCCCTCTTGGTTTTCCTCTCACTCCCCTGGCCAGTCCTTCTCAGTCTCCTAGGACTCAAAACTTAGAACTCTTGTCTGTCCGCACTCAAGCCCATGGTCATCATTATCAAAATGTCATGGCTTCAAATACCATCTGTATGCTGATGACTGCAAGATTTATTATTTCCAGCCAGATTTCTCTCCTGACCTCCACACTTCTGTGTCTAAGACCTTTTTGAACATCTCTGTTTGCATGTCCAATAGACATCTCAGACTTATGTATCCAGACTGAACTCCTGATCCTCCCTTCACCCTCCAAACCTACTCCATCTTGGCCAATGTCAGCTCTGTTCCTTCAGTCGCTCAGGCCAGAGTCCTTACCACTTCCCAACCCCTGCCATGACATACCTGAATCATTGTAGGAGTCTTCTACCTGGTGTCGCTGCCTCTGTGCCTTGTACCTTTATGGTCTTCTCAACATGGCAGCTGGAGGGATCCTTTGGTAGCCTTGGTTAGATCACCTCCTCTCTACTCAAATCCCCATTCCACTCAGGTGAAGAGTACAATTCTTTAAAAGCCATATACAGTCTGACCACCTGTTACTGCTCTTTCTTTTCCCTCTTCCCTTAACCCCACTTGAGCCACAGTGGCAGCACACCAGGCAGGTACCCACCCTGGGCAGGCTATTGCCTCATCTTACAATTCTGAGGCCTCCACCCACAACTATCAAGCATGACGCCCCCCTAACCTACACCAAAGGACATCGTCTCAACAATACCAACTGGTCTCCCTCCACTTTCCATCCCCCACACCCTGCCCTATTTTTATAGTACTTCTCACTTTCTGCCATGGTATACACTTACTCATGTATTATATTATCCATCTCCTGCTGGAATGTAAGCTTTGGGAGGACAGAGGTTTGTGTTAATTCCATTAATTGATGGATCACCAGCATTTAGAATAATGCCTCCACCTAGTCGATGCTAAAAAACTGTGTTGAGCGTACGTTCATTATGGCACTGTTTACAATAGCAAAGACCTGGAACCAACCCAAATGCCCATCAGTGATAGACTGGACAAGGAAAATATGGCACATATACACCATGGAATACTATGCAGCCACAAAAAACGATGGGTTCATGTCCTTTGTAGGGAAATGGATGAACCTGGAAACAGTCATTCTCAGCAGACTGACAGAAGAACAGAAAATCAAACACAGCATGATCTCACTCATAGGCAGGTGTTGGACAATGAGAAGACATGGACACAGGGAGGGGAGCATAACACACTGGGTCTGTTGAGGGGGACTAGGAGAGGGACAGCAGGGGGTAGGGAGGTTGGGGAGGGATAACATGGGGAGAAATGCCAGATACAGGTGATGGAGGGGTGGAGGCAGCAAACCACGTTGCCATGTTTGTACCTATGCAACAATCCTGCCTGATCTGCACATGTACCCCAGAACCTAAAGTACAATTTAAAAAAAAAAAAAAAACTTTAAAGGCAAAAAAAAAAAATGTATTGAGAATATGAATGAAAGTTTTCCTGTTTCTGCCTCAGAGATCTGCCCCATGATAGCCTGTAATTCCTTTTAAGTTTCTAGAGTATTATATTGTAGCCAGGATTCAGAAAATAACTACTAGGAAACACTGTATTCCTGACATGATTGCATATGGCCTTTTATTCAAAACTGAAAACAGTTCCTCTCAAATGTTACAGCAGTGTCACAGATACTGAAAATGTATAACAACATGATACAGCCTTGATATTTTAGGAATATGTTCAAAGTTCTTCATAAATCCTGTCAATTGTAGAGACCATGATATGGTCTACTCACATGAATTTCATATACAGCAGTAAAAAGAAAGAAGGGAGCCACGTGGAGCTCCGGAGGCTGAATGGCCGGTGGGCTCAGTGGTTGGGAGGAAGCTCACCAGACAGCTTAGCGGCATCACACATTTCAGCAGCTCATGAGCCCTAGACATTACCTGCCTATTGTTGCAATCAAGAATATGAGTTCTGTGAAAGCCAGAGATCCATTATATCATTTTGTTCTATTTGCAAAAAAAATTTAAATACTAATTTTAAAAAGTTAGCTCTCCCAGGGCTTCTGGTTTTAGAATGTAAACTGTAAATTACAACCAATGGGCAAGGTAACTCCACAGTTTAACTTACTGTTAAAAACAACTATTTATAATGAAGTGAGTTTTCACTTTGAGATCAAACAGCAGGTAAGCATTCATTCAGTTTGATTTTGGACATCTGGGAATAAACTGAATATAAACAAAAAGATTGCATTTGTTTTCACTTTTAAGCTGATTTTAAAATATATTTATATCTATCTATCTTTCTTCTAGTTTAATGGAACCTGCTGTAATGACTTTCTTAAAAAAAATTAATGATAAACAGGAATCTTTGACAAAGAAAGGCTGGAGTAAAGAGAGAGGATGCAGTTGCCGTGGTAACAGCAGTCCAGCATAAACATCTCAGATCTCTTCTGTTTATCATGTGTTTTAGGGCAATTCAAGCTGCTGGAACAAGACCGAGATATAAAGGAGCCAGTGCAATATTTCAACAGCGTGGAGGAGGTGGCTAAGGCATTTCCTGAACGCGTGTACGTCATGGAGGATATCACATTCAACGTGAAGGTAGCTCTTGAAGCACCAAATATTTATACTCACTAAAAATAATTTAACTTTCAAGTCTGGATGTACACAGTAAGTGTTCCTCTGTGGCTCCAAGGAAAGTTTCATCTTCCTAATGGCAGTTAGCAGCAGTAGCCAGACCACATGCATTGTAGCTGACCTGACTCCCTGACTGCTTCTTTATTTATTAGCATTATCTTTTGTTGAAATTTAAAACTGATCTCTGAATTCAAATAAGTGATACTTTTTAAAATTTGGACTTCATTTCCCAATATGTAACACTTTAGCAAGATCTCCACTTCTGGGAGCAAAAGGGATATGATGAAACTAAATAATACCAAATACTTAGAAAGAGTTCATAAAGAGAAAGAATAGGTTTCTAAGCATTGCTTGAAGTCAGCGTGTATTCATTGCACTCTTTGTGGAATACCTATTTCACTATACACAGGGAAAACTGATGTTGCCCAGAGAAAAGCTATATAGTGTTTGTTGTGCTCCATTTGTTCTGCATTCTTAAAGGGACAGTGCATTCTCCCTCTAGATGGTGATCGAGGTCCTTTGACTAGACTTGCTGTTGAAGAGGAACTGACCAGAGAAGCAAGCCACCAACCAGGCCCATTCTATTACCGCAAATCCTCTACATTTTCTCCAGCAATACCCATAATTACACTAAAACATTTTAGAAAGTGTTCATATTGAAGAAGTTTTCTAAATCATATTGTCAGAACATTTCAAGATGTAGGGGGGCAAAATTCCTGTTTCTTAGAAATCTACTCTATGTGAAAAACAGGCTGCATGGTGTCTTGGCCCAAGAATGCAGCAGTATCTTTATGGATGAGTCACTCCACCCACACTCTTCAGGAAAGGGAGGAAATGCCCAGGACAGCCCTTTTATTGGAGAAATGGTTCTGCCCATTTATTGTCTAAGCTAAGTCATTTCTTCTTCCGTTTCTAAAATACAACTGATTTGGTCTACACTCTTTAGTTTTATTTTAAGATGAGTGAGAGTTTATATTTGTAAAATCTTTACTAAGTAAATTATGCTTATGTACAAAAATATTTTATCATTTTCAACTTTTTCAGTGGCCTTAATATATGAGCATTCAGGTCAGCTAGACAACTTGCATTTATTTACATTGAAAACTTGTGTGAACATGTTCATTTTTAAACATATCTAGACTCGTTGGTCAGAAGTTAATCAAATCCTATTCCATTTGTGTTTTGATAGGACTTAAATCTCTCCCTAAAACTTACATTTAGAAGTCTCTAAATGAAAAAAGGAAAGTGTTTTGAGAAAGGAAAGTTAGCACTTTAAACTCCCTTCTAGAAAAATATTTCATTTGCAAATAAACATAAGAAATCAAATGTAAATTTTAAGTGACTTTTAAAGATTTTTTCCATTATTAAAATGTAACATTCCATCTTTTGTCACATATCGTTCATGTGAACTATTTTTTTAAATGCCTCTAGCAGCTTTTCTTGATGAGTTTGTATTAAATCAGGAATGACTGAGAGGATAATACTGAAATTCATACATTTTGTTAGAATTCTTTTTTTAAAATAGAAAACCATGACTGAATGTATTCATGTGTTTAACAGAGAATGTCATTTAAAAGTTCAAAGGCACAGTTACGTGTATGAAATGTGAGCTTCTAGCATCCATAAAACTAATTGGATTTGGGTTGAGTTCTGTGCCGTGCAAACATAAATATTTAATATTTCTAGTCTGCTACTTATGGAGTTTTAAAGTGCCATCACTTCTAGCTTGCATGAATCATTAAAACATTATTCAATTCTTTTCAAATAAGGATTGTCATAGGAACATCAGGAAATTTAAATAAATACACAAAAGGTTTTGTGCTTAGTGATAAACACACAAGTAAGTAAATAAACTAAGGATACTTATGGAAAAGTTTGTCTGGATACCACCTGGACCAAAAATAAAGGATGGAAGTCATGGTCTTCTTTAATTAAAAATATACTGGATTAAGTCAGGCATGGTGGCTCACTGTAATTCCAGCCTTTGGGAGGCTGAGGCAGGTGGATCACCTGAGGTCAAGAGTTCAAGACCGGCCTGGCCGACATGGTGAAAGCCTGTCTCTACTGAAAATATAAAAACTAGCTGGGCATGGTGGCATGCACCTTGATCCCAGCTACTCCAGGAGCTGAGACAGGAGAATCACTTGAATCCGGCAGGCAGAAGTTGTGGTGAGCTGAGAGTATGCCACTGCACTCAAGCCTGGGCAACAGAATGAGACTCCATCTCAAAAAAAAAAAAGACTGGATTCTCATGTCTGTGTGAGAACTGAGAATTATGCAGAGGAGGAGTTAAAGAAATAATTTTGGTTATTCTCATGGAGAAGGTGGGAAAAAGCCAAAAACAATACTCTTCATTCATACATGTAGCTATTGTCCAAGAAACAGTTTTTAAAAGAAAGATTTCAAACCTCTTTAGAAGATTTCACTGCCTCTCCTATGCTTCAGATACAGCATAAATTAACCAAAAGGATAAACCATTGAGGAAACCACTTGCAGTTAAAAATTGATAGTTACCTGGCATTATGATAGTCAAAAGATATAATTATTGTTGGAAATATACATACGTACCTTCATAGATGTATTTACAAGTCCAAACTGAAGTTAATCATAATAAGAATATAAAATAAAGCAAAAGTATTGAAAGAATGGGAACTCTAGTTCTGGGTTTCTTCCTAAACTGTAGCAAAATCTTAAATTTAATGGCTACTACTAGTACTATTTATACATTTGTTTAAAAGTGAAACATTCTTTTTCATTTGGAACTAAAAATTGTCTTTAAAAGATACCTCGATGTGTTTAAAACTATCTGCCTGAATGCCCCCATATTGATTAACTGCATGAAATGAACTCATATGTACATAAGTGTTTAATTCTTTAACCAGCAAGTATATTTTAAGCACCTACTGTATGCCCAGCACTACTCCAGGCAGGCACTGGGGGTAAAAAGCGAATATATAGGTCCCTCTCTGCATGGAGATTACAGTCTAGAAGGGAAGATAGACAATAAATACAAAAACAAGTATCAATACTACTTACAAGTAGAGATATCACGAATCAGTTGGATCTACAGCTCTGAAGCTTAGAGAAAGTCTAGCCTCAGAAAATATGGTTGGGACTCATCTGGAAGACGTTTGAAGCCATGGGTCTAGTTGAGTTTACCTATACCGATGGTTCTCAACCAGGAGTGACTTTGTTCCCTAGGAGACATTGGCAGTGTCTGTACACAGTTTTGATTGTCATGACTGTGGGGTGGAGGATATTACTGTCATCTGGTGGGTAGAGGGTGGGGATGCTACTGAACATTCTGTGATGTGCAGTACAGGCTCCCATAATAAAGAATTATCCAGTCCAAAATATCAGTAGTGCCAAGGTTGAGAAGTATTAAGCTAGATTCAAGATTTAAAAAGAGAGGAGGTCTGAGGACTGAGCCCTGGAGTGCACCAGCATTTAGGGAGTCTAGAAGGGAAGACTGGATGGAATAGCAGTAAGGTAGAATGACAGCCAGGAGTAAATGGTGTCCCAGAAGCCAAGTTTCAAGACGGAATGAGCAACTGTATCAAATGCTACTTAGCAATTGAGTTAGATGGGGACTGAGAACTAACCATAAAATTTAGTAAAATGTGAAGATCATTAGTGGCCTTGATAGGAGGTAAATAATAATCAGCTCAGAGACTGGAAAGTGAGTTAACCAGGATGGTACAGTGGGGTGGTCCTAGAGTTTGGTCAAGGTAAGTTTCAAGTGAAATTACTTAGCACCACCCTTTCTTTCTTCCAGCCATTTTCAGCTTCCTAGATGCAGGCATAGAGTAGACAAAGAGAGCTGACTTTAATCAGAGTTAAGGTTCTCCCAGTGACTGTAGCAGAGATCAGCAAATGGGTTGATGGAGTGTGCCTTAGAGTGAGTGACAGGTCTCACTGAGCCATGGAATCCTCCCTGAGGGCTGGGTGCGGTGGCTTATACATGTAATCTTAGCACTTTGGGAATCCAAGGTGGGGCAGGAGTTCGAGACCAGCCTGGCCAATATGGCAAAACCCTGTGTCTACTAAAAACATACAAATTAGGTGGGCGTGGTGGTGTGCACATGTAATCCCAGCTACTTGGGAGGCTGAGACAAGACAATTACTTGAACCCGAGAGGCAGAGGTAAGACAATTACTTGAACCCGAGAGGCAGAGGTTACAGTGAGCCAAGATCCCGCCACTGCACTCCAGCCTCGGTGACAGAGCGAGACTCCGTCACAAAAAAAAAAAAAAAAAAAAGAATCCCTACCGGGTAACCAAGTGTGAACAGAAGTGTAGCCCCAATGAAAATTGAACTTATGTGATAGATAGGTTTTAGAAAGGGAGGTGGTGGTAAAGTGTAAAACTCTTGAAATGTAACTTTAAGCAGTAAGATCGGTAATGACAGGAGTAACTCTATTTCAAATCTCAGTGTGTCCGTTTGAGTGAGCAGCTGAGGTGGTAGAAACAGAAGATGGGAGATGAGAAAGTCAAGAAAATAAAAGGATATGTGGGTGGGTTGCCTCTCACCGATCATTTGTATACATCTCCTCTAATCCCTGCAAAGCTAATTCCATGTTTTGGAAATAGCAGTCACCTACCTCTTTCACACTTTTTTGTCTCTATCCATCTGGTTTTTAGTTTTCACGGTCAGAATTTTGTTTTTGTTTGCTTGCTTTTCTGCATATTTGTGTGTGTTTGTGTGTTTTTTAACTGTAATAGGCTTTTCTGTCTTAATTATCTCTCCTAGTTTTTTCATCAACCATCTTTCTTCACATGTTTACTTCCAAAGTCAGATGTCCCCTTTTTGAGTTGGCCATTCCAACTGAAGGCTTGTACCTCTCTTTTTTAATAATAAAAACAACTGCGCTAACAATTTTTAAGCCACACATTTTTCTTCAAGCAAGCCACAATGATTTAAAGAGTGAATTGTATTGTGTAGTGGCTCAGGCTCTGAATTCAGAG